CCTCCCCTGAGGATTGATAGCCAGATAGTGCTTTTTGTTTTTTGTTTTGTTTTTGTTTTTTGCGGTGGAGACAGACATATTCTCTAATGGTGTAAACACTGGTGAGGTGCCCATGGTCCAGTAAACAACCTGTCCCTCAACCCTGCCTTTGTAAGCAGCCCTAATGAAATTCATTGTGTCATTTTAAAAAAGGCATGTACCAGGTGATGGTGGCACACATTTTAATCCCAGCACTCCGAATGCAGAGGCAGGTGGATCTCTATGAGTTCAAGGCCAGCCTGGGCTACAGAGTGAGTTCCAGGAAAAGGAGCAAAGCTACACAGAGAAACCCTGTCTTGAAAAAAAAAAAGGCAGGAAAATAGAAGGACTCGTTAGGAAGAGAAAGGAGGAAAATAGAAGGACTTGTTAGGAAGAGAAAGGAGACAAGGAGGCATGGGAAGTGCACGAGAGAGGGAAACAGGAAGTGAATATGACCAAAGAATGTCAGGATATACATACATAAAAAGTTCATTATGAAATCCATGTTATGCACAATTAATATATGCTAATAAATGCATTTGAGGAAACAAAGTCAATGGGTCATGAGGAAGAGTAAAAACGGTTAACCTCTGGCCTCCACATAAACGGAGGGGCACCCACATGATTATGCACCCACATGTATATACAACAAATAGATATCAATCTGTATTTGCAGATCCAGTGAGATACCATAACCTTTAAAAAAATTAAAGCAGAAGAAGACTTGCAGACTCTGTCTCTTTCAGGGCTGCCATGGCCCCACATGGAGTAGTTTATTTTTGGTCCTGGAGATGAGCCTGGGAATTAGGAATATTTACCCTGACCTTGTTCTATATCTGAGCTACATCTCTGGTTCCATAATGTCCTCTACTGCAGGACAGGCTTATCAGGAAGGGCTCATGTAAACACAATACACTTATGTATGGGAAGGAAGCAAACACCCATAACAGCTTCCCCCTACACTCTCACCTGAGAGCAAGGTAATTTACTCTCTCTCTCTCTCTCTCTCTCTCTCTCTCTGTGTGTGTGTGTGTGTGTGTGTGTGTGTGTGAATGCTGGAGATCAAACACAGGGCCCATGCATGGTAGGCAAGCACTCTGTCACTGAGCCCTACTCTCTAGAAATGTTTACAGACACAGCACTAGGAAGGGGTTAGGGAACATTCACACCAAGTCACTTGGGCATCCTAGTGTTGGTAATGGCCAGATTTGCTGTAGAATAAGACTCAGGACATGGACGGAAGTTGTTTTCAAGCTTTTCTCCTCCAATAACTGGTTGTGTTGAAATTCTCACACTGAGAATTTAACAAAACACCTGATCCCATCAGCACACATGGGCCTTTGTTGGTGACACCTACTTCCTGTCCAGGTCAGTCCTCACAGAAGTGTATTTTCTATGCTGTTTACACTCTCTAGCTGTTTGCCAGACAGAGGATTTCACGACCCCTGACAACCCGGAGCCTCCCTTCTCTCACACATTGTAGGTCATCAGGTCGGAGAGCAGCATCACGTGCCTCCTGTCGATGCTCATGCCATGGTTGACCATTGTGTACTGGATCTTGTTGATGATGGTTGTCCGGGCAGCCTCAATGCCCAGAGTTTTCTCCACCTAGGGAGAGCTAGGAGTGAGTGGAGGCAGTCCCTTCTGGGAGCTGCCTTACTCCTACTTCTTCCCTTTTGACAAGCACAAAGCAAACACTGCTCTATTATCAAAGTAGATTGCTGTGTAATTGTTTGTGAAGCAAATCCCGGGGTCAGGAAACTGCTGGCTGATGGTCCAGATGTAATGGTACCTCATAGGTGTTATTGGAAGTCATCTGAGTGCCTTTCACACTATTGGTGGCCATGACTGCACAAAGGTTGTCACCTTCTACCAGAAGCTTGAACTTCTCTTCCTGCTCTGCTCATCAATATGGATGACAGCTCTGGACACCCCCAGGGTGCCTTGTGCCACCACCTACATTCAACACAGAATGCTTAAGATGCTGCAACCCCTAGGTCCCTACTGAGAGCCTCAGAAACAGGGCCGAAGACTGGGCTGGTAACCTAGTTCATGCCATTCTCAGCCCATTTATCACCAGCTGTGTGTGTACTCCAGGGGTGCCTAGGTACTGCTTGCGTTAGGGGAAAGGTGGTTCAGAGGACTGTGCCCCAACCCAAAGTCAGCTTGAAGAGAGAGCAGAAAAGAGACTAATGGATAGAGTTGCAGTCTCAGAACTAAGGATAAGAGAAGAAAGGCCTTTGTGCAGCTTGGGCTTTTTGATTGTCTTAGCTCAGGAAACTTCATTGATTGGAAATCTGACATCCTGATGAAATGTTCTCGAATTTTCTATAAATGTGGGATTGAAGGATTGTGATCTGCAGAGCCAGAGCCTGGTTCCTCAAGGACTACATGTTCTCCCCTCCTCTGTCCCTCCCCCAGGCCATGATCCTAAAGGAGCAGTCAGTGATGCAGAACCTCCCTGGCAGTCAGTGATGCAGAACCTCCCTGCCTGTCTCTCAGAGCTGGACCAGAGCAACAGCGCCCCCACCATGGCCCTGTGTGGCTCCAAAGGTGAGCGAAGCCCTCAGGGTTGGCTGTTTGTGTGCCCTGCCAGGGGTTTGGCTCTAGAACACGTCTTTGGTCGTAACATCACAGAAGCTCTTCATTTCTTTAAGTGCTTGTCTATAAATCATGGAGGACTGAGCTTTTGTTTGATTTGGGTGGGGACAGTTATGACTTTTGGAGAAACTGGTGGGTAATTTGGCTGACTTCCTGAGTTTGAATGTGCTTTGACTAAATTTGTCATTAGAAGTTTAACCTTAGAATTTTCAGTAATAGATTTAGTGAAGTAACAGTCTTTTTTCTTTGGCATGTTGATTTTGGTTTCCAATGCTCTTTATTCAAAAGATACTGAATTTTCTCATTGCTGTTGTTTTTTTCTTTTTGGCCTTGAGATAGAGAAAGTGCGGTACTTCACTGTCTTTTGAGAAACCCACCAGAGGATTGGTTTTTTTTTTTTTTTTTTTTTTTTTGTTGTTGTTGTTGTTGTTGTTGTTTTTAAATATTAGCAGGGCCTAGGTGCACTTCATAAAGCAGCCGCTAGGTGGCAGTGTAGCGGGAAGGCGCAAAGCACCATGTGAGAAACCTCTCTGGACAGACTTCCGCGGTGGAAGAGGAAGCAGCACGTGGGGCGGCGCTCCATGGTGGCCGAGGAACAGCAGCTGCTGCTCTTTTATCCTAAATCCAGAAGCGCCCGGGAAGCTGGATGTAGCTAAGAAAATGTAAGAGGCAGCTGGCGATGGAGACTGGAGTCCCAGGTCCCAGAGGGTTCCAGGTGAGGGACAGTTGTGAAGAGAGCGAAGAGAAAAGTTCCAGGATGGGATTTCAGAGAAAGTGGGATGGACCGAGCTGTAACTCGAATTACTCGAACTGGAGAGATGGCTCAGTGGTTAATAGCACTGGCTGCTTTTCCTGAGGACCCAGGTTCAATTACCACACTCACATGGCAGTTCAATACTATCTGTAGCTCCATTTCCCAGATGTCTGGCACCCTCACACAGACATACATGCAAGCAAAATGCCAATGCACATAAAAATAAACAGACATTTAAAAAATAATGACGCTGGGCATTGGTTGTACACACCTTTGATCCCAGTACTCAGGGGCAGAGACAGGAGATATCTGTGAGTGCCAAGTCAGACTGGTCTACAGAGCAGTTGACAGGACAGCCAGGGCAACACAGAGCAACCATGTCTTGAAATACTGTAGAAGAGGAGGAGGAGGAGGAGGTAAAAGAAGAAGAGGAAACAAGCCAGGCTGTGAAAATGGCTCACTGGGTAAAGTGCTTTTCACACAAGCGTGAGTCCTACATTTGAATCCCAGAACCCATGTAAGGCTGAGTGTGGAAGCTGTTGTATCTCTAATCCTAGTGTTCCTATGGTGAGCTGGGAGACAGAGACAAGAGAACCAATAGAAACACAGCCCAGTTTTCCAGGCACCCACAGGGGCAAACACAATAAAGAGGAGCAACTTGGATCGCTCAGCTGGTGAAAGAACTCGCCATGAAGCCTGATGACCTAAGTTTGTTCCTTGGAGCTCATGTAAAGTTGGAAGGAGAGGGTAGACTCCCAGAGTTCTCCTCTGATCTCAACATGCAAGCAATGGCATGCACAACCTCTCCCTATACACAGTAAAATACAATTCAAAGAGACCGTCTCTAGGTAGAAGGTAAGCACAGACACCTGAGTCCATCCACTGACCACAACACTCATGCTCACACAAACACATATACACACATATCACATACACACACACACACACACACACACACACACACACACACACCACAGTTTAAAATACAGCGACAACAGAATCCCCCAGCTGCCCTGCATTGTCTCACACCTCATTCACACATCTTTAAAATACTACCTGGTAGACTTATGAATTTCAAGTTTGACACTCAATTCAGTGGCCCA